CAGGGTAGCGCTACATTAACCATGGCTCACGCCATTAAGCGTATCCTCCTCCTCTTCCTTCATTGTGGCGCGTCAAACCAGTAAATCGCTTGCCGCCGCAATGGATGCCTACCCCAAGCCCCGCCACAACTACATCTACACACCCCGCTATGGCCAGCGCGGTATCCTGAGCTACGCTGGCCAGCAGCAAAATGGCGCATACCCCGCCGGCATCATGCCTGGTGGCTTCAATGCCGGTGTTGGCCTTGTTGCTGGTGTAGGCGTCGGTCTAGGATATGCGGCTGGCGTCTACCAACCTGCGGTATACAACGCCCGTTCCTACTACCCTTACGCCTACAGTGCCGGCTACTACCCCGCCACACACTACCAATATCCCTCTTACGGCGGTTACTACAACGTCGGCCTCTACGGGCAGTCATATCCGCTTGCTAACTTCTACACTCCATATCAGAGGACCTACTACAACACGACGCCCACCTACGGCTATACAACCGCTCATGTCTATCCTCCTGGTCCGCACACTACCACCACCACCACATACCATGTCACCAACGCCCAAGCTCAACCCTTCCAAGCTGCCCCACAGGTGGTGAGGGAGACTCGGCCTGCCTTTGGACACAATGGCCACCCCACTCAGGGCTTCTCGCGCGAGGAGATTCAAATGGAGAATCGTCGTGTTGCAACCCTGCGTGGCGCATACGATCCGAGAAAGATACGCCCCGCCGATGCCCGTGATGACGATCCGTTCTGGTGTCGCGAGCTAAACGGCGAGTGGCACCTGAGAAGCTATTATCAGATCGAGATGGAGTGTCAGCCTGGTCGGTGGATGATGGACGCTGACATTGGCTTCTTGGTCTTCCACCGCGGCTGAAGAATCTATCCATGTCTATCTCCCATTTGGTTTGGCCAGGGCAAGACAAGGACAACGGTGAATCGTGTCAAGCGTGGTCGAGTGCGTTGTACATGACCTACGAAGATCAACAGCCTGCGACTCGATCTCGATCTACAACGAAAGATTGTGATTTCTTTTTCCATTTCCTCCCGGGCTTTTCTCTTGATGCCCGATTTGATGAAGGCGGCGTCGAGGAGTGGAATGCCAAGTTTGACAGTGCGTATACTTTCTATTGGATTTGCTGCATCATGTAAAACTGTTCTCAAGATAGCACATGCAGCCTCACAGATACAATCTTGAATTCAACTCTTCAAAAGACGGTCTTGCGTCCATGTACCCGAGGGTGTGGCAAGTGACATGTCTGTTTCAATCACCGTCAAGGTTTTGGCTGGTAGTGAGCATGCGCGAATTCACTCATCAACAGCCAGCATCCAATCCCAGAAACACGAACCGCATCTGTGAACTGGCAGCCAACGTACTAGACAAACGTGTCTCAAATCTCTCACAGATTGCAAACATGTCGAGCTGTGGACCAAGTACAAAAAGCCAGCGGCCCCGAGCTTCCAGTTTTAAACTCACCATCCTTCCTACTTCATTCCAGTAGCAAGAAAACCGTCATTGATAGTGATTTATACTATCTTACCAGCCCATACAATATGACACCGCCTTTCCCTTGTACTCCCACCCATATATCCGAAAATGACCTCGTCAGCCTTGACAGGTTGGAAATCACCATCGACTTGGGCCTGGCGAACCTTGTGGATCTCGTCAGATCGTCCGGTGCGAACGACAGTCGCCAAAGAATGTATGCTTTGCAGAGCGGATCAAGCGCTTCGCCAAAAGCGGGACTCAGAGGAGATGCATGCACACGAGAGTATAGAAGGCATGAGGACTTCAAGGCACATGAGGCTGAATGGGGGCGAATGGTCGAATGTTGTTACTGCAACCTTGCTCCTAATCAAGTGAACAGGACTAGGCCACCAAGAGTGGGTCCCTCTGTGAGAGAGCGGATGGAAGACTCACGGGCGAAAAGGCAAAGGGACAGAGAGGAGAGTGAAGTGCCCATGTGGTCGCCTCTTGACTTCCACGACACTCTTATGCCACAGCCCGTCTTCGATGAACCCTTTCTCTCGGACGAGCCAACCATGCCAGCTCATTTCCCGATTCCTTTCCCCCACACATCTGTCTTCGATCTCAACCTGTTAGAGTACGCAAAGCACCCCAGGCCCTCTGAGATCTGTGGCCTTTGCTTGGACACCCCCATTCAATTCGCCGGTATCCACTTTGCTCCCTTTGGCGACTTCCTCGATATCAGCATGCATTTCACAAACGATGAACTTGATCTTTTGAATGCAGATGTGTTGCAATTAGAACCAGTTAGGTCTGGACGCTGGAAAACTAGTTTGGGACCCTATGGCAAGACCCCGTGCGGATGGAGGATGTTGAGGGAGAAGGGGGTTGATTTTGATCTGAGGCGACGGAAACTTGTTGCTCCCGTTCCTCCGCAGTCATTTCCAGACATAAATATTCCGGGAGCTTCATCCCGAACTTCGAAGCCTCCATCTGCTTTGCACATCGATGTTCAGCCCCTTCCTTACGAGAGGGCTCCAGCGCAGAGTGAGCGACAAATATGCACCAAGCGTCGCGATGATCCGATCTCTCACCACAACGGGCTCGAGTTGTCCCATCAAAAGAAAAAGCAAGACGCACGTGTAGCCTCATGGAATCGTCCAGGAACCAATCAACATGGAGATTACTGCCCGATTGATTGTTACAACCAAGCAGGCGGCTATCCACCCTCACCCACCCGCTCCATCTCCCCTGTACCCCAACCTTCCGGATGCCGAACACCCTCACCTCTAACCTCCCTCGTCTCGCGATCTTCTCGCCCAGCCCCTCATCCCCGTCGCGTAACCATCTCCTCCCCGAGCTTCACCGCCAGCCATAGGGCAACGGTGGAGCCGGAGGTTCACCCCGAAGAATTCATATTCCCACTTTCGTACACTTCGACATCATTGGCCTCCCCAGGCACAAAGACGGCCAAACTCAGGCAGAGGCCCGATCATCCGACATTGAAGAAGACTTATAGCAGGGTTAAGAGTAGGAATACGGGGAAAGGCAATGGCAAGGAGAAGATGTATCAGGCGTATGCTATGGATGCGGATGATTTTGGGGAGAGTATCAGAGATGATTGGAGGGATGTATGAAATGGATGGAAGGAGGGCTGAGTACTTTTGGTTTATGGGATTGAACTACGATGGTGGTGGGGCGGGGCAAGGGTTGTGTGGATTGATATTGATACCCAGTCGTCTCGACAGGCACCCCC